AACAAAATTCAAACTCACAAAAAAATGGAGCAGATTTACTGGTCTGACAGAGACTGGAGAAACCCCGAGAGTATGGCCCCCAGAAACCCTTTTTACTCAGTACTGAAGTCACTCCTGAGTGCCTCCTTCAGCCAAAGATTACACAAACCCATGAAACAAACAATAATACAGGTAGCTCAGCTATGCATATGAGACTAAATTGGCACACCAGCCCAGGGGCAAGGACGTGAAGGCAAGAAGGGCAAGAAAGCCGGACAAATGGAAATGGGGAACCCAAGGTCGAGAAGGGGAGAGTGTTGACATGTCTTAGGTTTGGCAACCAATGTTACAAAACAATGTGTATTAATTGTTTAATGAGAAACTAATCTGCTCTGGAAACCGTTATTTAAAGCACAATAAAAAAATCAATTAATTCAAAAAAAGGAAGGAATATAAAGAGGCCCTGCACCAAAAAGAACTGGTCGACATTCAACCATTTCAGGAGGTAGCATATGATCAACAGCCAATGGTACTTAAGGAAGAAGTATAAGCTTCACTGAATGCACTGGTGAAAAACAAGTCTCCAGGAATTGATGGAATGCCAACTGAGATGTTTCAACAAACGCATGTAGAGCTGTAGGCGCTCACTTGTCTGTGTCAAGAAATTTAGAAGACAGCTTTAATCGATTGGCAGAGATCCATATTTGCACCCATTCCAAAGAGAGGTGACCAAATGGAATGCAAAAAATTATAAAACAATATCATTAATATCACACACAAGTAAAATTTTGCTAAAGGTCGTTCAAAACGGTTTTATCAATACATCGACATCCAGAAATTCAAGCTGGATTCAGAAGAGGACGTGGAGCAAGGGATATCATTGTTGATGTCAGACGGATCCTGGCTGAAAGCAAAGAATACCAGAAAGGTGTTTCCCTGTGTTTTATTGACTATGAAAAGCCATCTGACTGAGTGGATCATAACAAATTATGGATAACATTGTGAAGAATGGGAATTCCAGAACAGTTCATTGTGCTCATGTGTACACAGACCATGAGACAGGACAAAGGGATACTGTGTGGCTCAAATTCGGATAGGTGTATGTCAGGATTGTATCCTTTCACCGTACTTATTCAATCTGTATGCTGAGCAAATAATCTGAGAAGCTGGACTACATGAAGAAGAGTGAGACATCAGGACTGCAGGAATATTCATTAACAACCTGTGATATGCAAATTACAGAATCTTGCTTGCTGAAAGTGAAGAGGACTTGAAGCACTTATTGATGAAGATCAGAGACCACAGCCTTCAGTATGGATTACATCTCAACATAAAGAAAACAAAAATTCTCACAATTGGACCAATAGGTGACATCATGGTAAACAGAGAAAGACTGAAGTTGTCAAGGATTTCATTTTACTTGGATCCACAATCCATGCCCGCAGAAGCAGCAGTCAAGAAACCACATGAGGTATTGCACTGGACAAATATTTTGCAAAAGACCTCTTCAGAGTGTTAAAAAGCAAAGATGTTACTTTGAGGATTTAGGTGTGCCTGACCAAAGCGATTGTCCAGCATGTGAAAGCTGAATGATGAATAAGGAAGACCAAAGAAGAACTGGTTCATTTAAAATGTGGTGAAAAGATGGAAACAACCTAGGTGCCCATCAACAGATTAATGGATAAACAAACCATGGTACCTCCACACAACGGAATACTACACAACCATAAACAAGAGTGATGAATCAGCAAAGCATCTTACAACATGGGTGAATCTGGAGGGCATTGTGCTGAGTGAAATAAGTCAATTACAAAACGACAAATATTATATGAGAATACTATAAAAACTCAAACCCATTGCCACTGAGTCGATTCCAACTCATAGCGACCCTACAGTGAACTTACAGGGCAGAGTAAAACTGCTCCCATAGTGTTTCCAAGGCTGTAATCTCTACAAAAGCAGACTACCACATCTTTCTCCCATGGAATGGTTGGTGTGTTAGAACCTCTGACATAGCATTTAACCCTGCTAAAGAAGAATTCTATATACGGCAAAAGTATTCTTCAAGCAAAAGCTAAGCGAGTTTGTCACTAGTAGACCTATCCTACGTAAAATACAAAAGGAAGTCCTTCAGAGGTAAATGAAAGTTTGGTAGATTGCAATGACTATTGTGTGGCCTTGAACAAGCCATTTACACTCTCTGAGTAATAAACTGCTGTTCTCTCAAGTAAGAGAAACAATCACCTTACACTGAAGAGTAGATTTGAGGATATAATCAAATTCATACAGGCAGGACTTTGTTAGACACATTGTGGGTAGGGCCCCCACATACAGCTGCGAAGGCTGTGCACTGCACAACTCCCGAGAGTGTCGTTTGCATAGACTAAGATGTGAATAGCAACTGCTGGAATTGTGCAATGCCGTGAGCTAGGTCATGGACATTCATCTGATGACAGGAGAAAGTAACACCTATGCTGTCTCTTCAACTATTTAAAAAGCTAATTTTTCATAATGCTAAAATTGCCCCCCCAGCTCTCCTCTTTTCCAATATTGAGAGCAAGAAAATGTACAAATTACACTGATTTTAGGTATTCTGTTTACTCACTTTAAAAACTGCAGTAGTGTAATGCTTGAATTGGAGAAGAGTTTTGTTTGAACGAGTTTGTGCGTTTAAATACAGAGACAGGCTGAGGCATGACAGGGCTTGAACATTCAGTGTGCACAAATGGAATAAACAAAGAGGCCTCTCTCCAAAGCAAAGTGAAGTGTGATACATTAGATTAGTACACAGGGTCAATCTTATTTTTTTTTACAATTTCATTTTTTTAAACATGTGCTACATTTGTAGTTTGTTAGCAGATCAACATCAACATACAAAAACAAACACTAAACACAAACCTCTACAGCATGGTTCTGTGTAAACTACCAGGGTTCGTCCGTCTGGAAGGTCATCAGTAGTTATCTCGACTGAACTGTTCATTTCTGTAAGGAAAAATGTTTACTCTAAATGTATGGAACCGTCTGGCAAGGCCTCTGCAGAAACTCCATCCAGTGGACTTCCACATGAACACATTCTTAAAGCAGGCAGTAAGGCGGCACTAATGGGGTGATGTTAGCCTGCACACCCTGGCGTGGCAGGTGGGCTCCCATGAGGCTGGCTCCTCACGGTACACCAGGGTCACACATGCGTCACCACTTCCCAGGCCCAGCACAGAGGCAGACGTGAGTCTGGTGAGAAACTGGCTCCCCCTTTCCCAAGTCTTGTTATTAGCAAAAAGGGTGGGAAACTGAGAAACCACAGGGGAAACAATTGATTCCTCTTTTTCAAACGTTCTAAAAGTTTTCCTCGGTGTTGAAGTCCGTTTGTAAAGGAAGGTTGGCAAGCTATTTTCTCATTTTGTTTAATTCTGAATTAAGAGTAATCAGAGGTAAGACACCAATATTCATTCATTCAATAAATATTTTTGAGCACTTCCTAGGTCCAGGTAGAGTTCCAGGCAACAGAGATACAATGAAAACCAGAACATGCAAGTTCCCACACTCATATGGCTTCCATTTAAGTGAAGGAGGTAGATGACAAATAAGCAAAACAACACACTTATCATATAACCTCAAGGAAGGATATATATTATTTTGGAGGTATTCCATGCTGTCTCCCTCCCTAGGAATCTTCTCTTCCCTGTGAAGCCAGGGTAACAAAAACTATAGACAATCGGTGAGGTCAATAAATATGAAAAACAAATTTCATTTAAGTTTCATTTTATTAGATGTTACCAGACTCCCTGTCAGCTTTTAATTTTTAACCTAACTGTGCAGGTCACAGGAGGACACAAATCAACTACTGCTGTGGGGACGCAAACACACACTTTGTGGAGGGGTGAAGGACTAAGTCATATTTCCAGTGACTCCCAAGGGGCTAGGAGTGTGCTATTAAACTTTGTATTGAATATACAATCTTCCTATATTTTTCTGCCTTTCCTACCTCATTTCAAGGAGGTAGTCGGGCTCAGCAAGGCAGACGCTGACTAAAGTGTATGGCTCTTAGGGTCTGTTGTAAAATTCGCAGCTCACTGAGTGATCGCATTGAGTGAACTGGGGCTGAGGGCAACGGGAGTGCTGAAGCTCTACTACAATGTCTTGGTCGGTCATTAGACTTGGGAATCATCACACCAGTTTGGGTAGGGGGTACCCCAAGAATAAGTAAGGTTAAATTTTTCACCAATGTGGAAAGAGGGAGCTCGGAGGCACAAGTTAGTTTACTTTAAAAAATAGAAAAAATGAGATGCTTTTTTTACACCTGATTTTATGTACAGGTTTACACTTACAAATACGTATCATTCATCTACTGAGTCAACAAAGATTACTAGATGTCAATAGCTATGCCAGATGATCTTGAGAATAAAATGATTAAGAGAAGATTCCTCATTATTTGGTGATAGAAACAGCCAAGTCAGATAGTGTGTCAGTTTTCAATTGCTGTGTTACAATGACACCACAGTGGAGTGGTGTAAAATAACAAGCATTTACTGTACTTACAATTTTTAAGGTTGGCAGTTTGGGTTCTTGTAGTCTGAGTCAGGCTCAGCAGCTCTCATCTGGGCTCCCTCATGTGTCACAGGTCTGCTGGGGGCCAGCAGGTCTAAAATGTACTCAGCTGGGAACGCTGGCGCCTCTCTCTACCTGATATCATTTTCCTTGGAACTGTCATGTTCTTCTCTGACCACCACCAACAATTCTCTAAAACCCCTACTCAGATGGGTTCAACAGTTTAGCGGTTCCTTTTCTAAATAGGATCCACAACAAAAGCAAAGGTGTAGCCTAAGCATATTAACACTGAGTCTTTCCCCGAGGGCTCTCCTAGACATCCCAGTAGGATGACCATGGAAGTTCTAAGCCTCATTGCTCTTCTGTGAGGCCATTATCCTAACCCTTTTCCAGAAGGCCAAGGGAAAGCATGCAAAGAGGTTAAATGTAACAATTCTAGGTATCAGAGCCAGGATAGGTGGTGGCTGCTCACGAGGTGCACTGGCTGCGAGTTGAACCCAGGCCTCCTGCATACAAGGCAAGAATTCTACCATTGAACCATCAATGCTTCAATTACAACTTATAAACTTTAAATTCTGATGTGTCAAGGCAGCATATAATTAAATTACTGATTTATTTACTATAAGGCTTCAGTGAAAGGAGGGACTGCTGTGAGTTTAAATAGTTGTGGAAAGAATGAGGTGGAGATGGGGCCAAAAATTTCAGGTGTCAGCCTTATATTTACTGCTTGGCAGGTGTAACCAAATCACCTGTTCATCATTTATCCTTTATTTCATGTGACAACAGTGATTCTGAATTAATTTAGGTTCCAATCAGTAGCACTCAATTCATGTTTTTCTTTACATTTTCTTCTTACACATTCTGGATTTAGAAAGTGTGGCTTTCTTAAATTGTTAAATTCTGGGTAAGTACATAATCTTGCAGGCATTGCTACTTTGTTAACATGGATTTTACCATCCTTCTCATTACCATTTTTCTACTGTTCTTATTTACACCAAAAGCAACTGGTGGTTGGTCCCCACTTGTGTCAAATAAATACCAGTGGCTGTAGATTGACCTTGGAGAGAGAATAGAGGTCACAGCCGTGGCCACCCAAGGAGAACACGGGAGCTCCAACTGGGTGACCAGCTACCTCCTAATGTTTGGTGACCGTGAGAGCACCTGGAAGCAGTATCAACAAGAAAGCATCCAGGTACATCTCAGGATTGAATTATGGTCATGCTACATGTTACTGCAAATCTGCCATATCAATAGGCAAAGACAATATGCCAATTTATCTTGGAAAAGCTTTCCAAGTGAAAATGAAGTATGTATTGCATTTTAAGGTCTACCATACATGAATGATCTATGAAATAACTATAATTAAAACAATTTAACAATGCATTGGAAAATTGTAAAGCACTTCCTATTATTCCTTTAAATAAGGCAGGAATCTAAGCAATAAACAAATCACTATAATCTTTTTGTTTCGTTCAGTAGCATAGTATTTTGGCATTGTCTCGACATTGATAATATTGGTAAAAGGAATTCATTTTTTTATGCCCTCTGATTTAATCTAAGATTTCTAAAACACACTGAACACTTACAAATATAATAAATGGACAATCTTCCTATGATTAACATGTTTGGGAACACAAACTCGTGGACTCTCACATCCCTTATTATGTGACCAAGTTAGTCATCCCAAGCTATAGAGCTCTTTGGAATTCTTTGGAATCTTAACTTCTTAAAATGATCTTGCATCCATGATGACCTAATTTCTATTTCTGATTTTATGTCAGTGCTTCCTTGGGGGAAAATTAGATTTTGTTTGCCTAACTTCGTGTGTGCGTGTGTGTGTGATGAAAATATACACAACAAAACATTGGCTAACTTAACAATTTCTACATGTATGATTCATGATTCAGTGACATTGATTACACTCTTCATGTTGTACAGCCATTACTGCTACCTTTTCCAAATTATTCCACCACCACTGACGTAACCTCAATGCCTCCTAAGCAAAAACTCACGCTCATCTCCCTTTTTCCACTCCTGATAACTACTAATCATCTTTGGTTTCTATATATTTGCTTATTTTGTATAGTGAGATCATACAGTATTTGTCCTTTTGCAACAAACTTATTTCCCTCAACATGATGTTTCCAAGATTATCCATGCTGTGGCATGCACCAGGACTTCATTTCTCTTTATGGTGAGTAATACTCCACTGTATGTATGTACCACATTTTGTTCATCCATTCATCTGCTGATGGACATTAGGTTTGTTTCCACCTTTTGCCTATTGTGTAACGTGCTGCAGTGAACATCTGTGTACAGGTTTCTGTTTATGTTCCTTCTTTCATTTCTTCTGTGTACATGCCTAGAATTATGATTGCTGGGTCATATGGTGGTTCTGTGTTCAAGTTTTTGCTTAACTTTTGTGAATATTAAGAAAGCATTAAATTTACTCCATGTTTACTTATTACATACTTTTGGAGATAACCAATATTTTTAAAACCATGATCTGCCCTGTTTAAACCTCTGACAAATTTTGTGGGCAGAGTCTATATAAAGGAGAGATTGTAAAAATGGAGTGCTGTAGAAAAAATGGCCGAGTATTTATCTGTAATTGACTTGACTGAACGATGTGGCTTGAAGAAAGTTTGTGAGGTGGAGAAGAAATTACTTTTTTTTAATCATTGAAATAATAATTTGGCTTTCATTTAGATCAGGAAGGTTGAGTTATAACCAAATAACTGCTCTTTCTCTTTCTGGGTTGCCATCATAAGAGAAGACATATAAGCCAGAGAAGAATTAATTATTAGCACATAGCTAATGCATATGCCAGAAGGCAAGGTAATGATAATACCCTTTGGATAATCAATTGGCTGCATCTGAATTTTGTAGACTCTGTTAATTATCATGAGTTTATGTAAGACACAGACTCTGATTTATTCAACTTTGTATCTAGAGTACTTACTAGTCCATTGATAAATCCTGATGCAAACCAAAGCAAGAAGTATTACTTAGCCCTCTAACACTAAATAAAGAGCAAGGACAGGAGGGAAGTTACCATAAGCGTTTTAAAGTAAGATGACTTAATGTCCCAAAGCAAACTGGAGCCATTTTGATCCAGAAGAAGTAAGTATTAATACTGAACTAATTCTGTGTAAAATGTAACCCAACAGAGTCAGAACATTCACAATTACCTGCGAGAGTCTTCTCTTGAGTTTGGAGAGCCCAATGTGGTAATCACCACTTCGTTTTCTCTGCACACACCTCTCCTGCACCCATAAAGTCTTCCTTTCTCCATGAATCCCACATCCAACTTGGACCAACGGTGTGAAACTCAGCCAAGGACAGGTCCGGCAAAGTCAAGTGAAACACTCATTTGCCTTTTTTGGCCATTTGTTGGTCCAAAGCCTTCCGAGGCACACTGTATACAGGTGAGGTCCTGGAAGCTGGGCCGGAAATCCTGTGCCCCTGGTGGCCTGTGGACAGTGGATGTGGGGATATCAATGATCAGTGTTGCCCGTGCAAGAGGGACATCCTTAGGCCCCAGTCTGGCTGGCTCTGGGGCTCCCCGATGCCTGGCACCATCCCTGGCCTTTGGCCCGTGCCTCTGTGCACACCAGCTGCACTTCTCCCCTCATCACTCTGGTGCCATCTCCACCGCCTCTCTGAGCGTGGAAGTGACCATTCTCCCAGTGACAGCAGTGTCACAGGTCTCTAGATTTCGAGACTCAGCCTGACCTTGTCTGTCTTCTACCCCAGGCAATGGCCCCAATGCCTCAAGTACCAGATGATGACTCGTAAGCCATGGCAGACTTTATTCTATATCAATTCACACGTCTGGGTGTCAGTAGGCCGGGTAGACCAGGTGAGTATTGGCTGGGCTGGGCTAAGGCTTGGGGGAGGGTTAGCAGGCCAGGTAGGCCTGGTGAATGTCGGGTGGGTAAGGCCTGAGGTTTCTTTGCCGTCACCATGGAGACAGCCTCTGGAAGCAGTGGGCTGAGCTTCTGACAGTGCCTGGTCAAAATGACTGAGCCAATAGCAGAGAGCTGACCAGCCAGGCTGATTTCCCAGGGCCCTCTGTGGGCCTATTGACACTCAGCAGCCATGTCTGGCTGTGGCCACAGGAATTTCGCACACTCCGGGTGGGATTAATGCCCGTGGCCACAGCACAAAGTGGCTGCTGAGTCTCATAGGCCAAAATGAAGGGCCCTGGGGAATCAGCCAGGTGGGAAAGAACTCTCACCTACTGGCTCAGTGCTCGTGACCCAGCACCATCAGAAGCTCCTCCCACTGCTTATACAGTCTCCATGGTGATGGCAAACAAGCCGTAGCCCCGCCCACCCGAACTTCATCAGGCCTACCTGGCCTACCGACCCTCACTTAGACCTGAGTTGACTGGGAATGAAAGCCGTCAGGGACCACAGGTCATCATGTGGACCTGAGGCATCGGGGCCATTGCCTGGGGCAGAAGATAGTCAAGGTCAACCTGACCCTCAATATCTAGAGACCTGTCACACTGTTATCACTGTGACACACGCTCAGAGAGGCAGTGGCAGCAGGATCAGTGTGATGGCAGGATCAGTGTGATGGCAGGATCAGTGTGATGGCAGGGGAAATAAGCCTCGAGTGCACACTTTCAGGGAGGCCCGGACCAAAAGCCAGGGACAGGGGTCAGGCTGTGTGAAGCGGCATAGCCAACCAGACTGGGGCCCAAGGCTCCCTCCTGCGCGTGGGACACTGTTTATCCATATCCCCACATGCACACTCCACAGGCCTCCAAGGGCACAGGATTTCCGGCCTTGGCTTCCCAGACCTCACACATAGGTGCTGTGCCCCAGATTCTGAAGTCCATCCAGATGGCCTACCTGCTATTTTCTACCTATGGGCAACCAATACCTCCAAAGGCCTTCCCCCTTCCATCTCTAGGCTCTCTCCTGTTTTCCTATTGGTGATATTTCTCAGAAATACAAGTCAGACATGTGGCAGAACCAAAACAGAGACAGAGACAGAGAGACAGAGAGAATAGAGGCTGAGTGGGATTACCTTGACTACTGATGTCCTGAAGTAAGTAGAAAAGAGGTACCTGGCTGCTCACCCAGTGCCATATTAGAGGCTGCCCTCTGCGAAAACCTTTTCCTAGGTGGGGCGAAAGCCCGTGGCCATAGCCCGAACATCGCAGCTGATTTTCACAGGCCAAAATGAAGGGCCCTGGGGAAGCAGCCAGGCAGGCCAGACCTCTGTCCTATTGGCTCACTCACTGTGATCCGGTCCCATCAGAAGCTCCGCCCACTGCTTCTGGAGTCTGTCTCCATGGTGACGGTAAACAAGCCTTAGCCCCCACCCACTCAACCTTTACCAGGCCCACCTGGCCTAGGGATCCTCACCCAGACCTTTGAGTTGATCCGGAATAAATGCCCCCAGGGCCCACATGTCATCATCTGGGACCTCAGGCATTGGGGCCATTGGATGGGGCAGAAGACAGCCATGGTCAGCCTGAGCCTTGATATCTAGAAAGCTGTGACAATTCTGTCTCTGCGACAATGGTCACTC